CCAAAAAAACCCCACCCCCCCACTTTTCGGTGTCTTTTCCCCATTGGTGACATGATGCTGTTGGAATTGAAACTGCTATTCACAAGAAATATCCAAAGTTGACAACTTGTTCATTCTGTGTGCTAATTTGTCTTTCTAGGTACAGTTCTGAAGAATGGTCAGAGTTTAAATTGGTAGTGATGGCTAAATGTGCAGATAATGCAGGGATTATGATGCAAAATTTGGTTTGCAATTTTCTCCTTTGATTACTTGAAACTGCAGATACAAAGGACCCTCTGGATATTCCCTTGATAGGTGCCAAGTGCCGAGCCATGGGGTCGGGATAGACGGATTTAGGATTTAAAGTCAATGAGTTTAAAATATCGTTATATTCGCTATTCTTATATGAAGATGAGTTCAAACTTAATGGACCGTTAGTATAAATATAGGATAACTCTGTTCACTAATGTTAAACAAATAGGAAGAGATCACTTAGCAACTTCTTATGTCTGCTGAAAATTGAATTCCTATCTGCAATCATTATCTGCGATGATTGTGATGAAAAAAAATTCAAAGCTATAATTGAATTGTCTCCAGTTAATGATTTGGCATTGGGATGAAACAAAGAAGGAAAGTGACTGGGTTATGGGTATGACTAAAATTTCTATTTTTGTTATTTTGCTTGCCAAACTTCCAACAAGATAATACCGAATACCAACTCATTAATTTAGATAGCAACAAACAACTTGAATTAATGATACCAATGACATCTATAGCAAAAAGAATAAAACCTTTCAATCATATCGTTTTCACACAGATTAAGAAATTTAATTTTTAATATTAGTTAGCAATAAAATTGATCATATTAACGTTTACTATCTTTTCACATAAATACTCCAACACTATTTACATCAAGCACAATATAAAAAAAAATAATTAATTCATTCTTGAAATATGGAAAAATCAGATATTTTGGACCATAAAAAAAGACCAAAAAATCACTTGGACCGATAGAGTAGTAATCTACTTCCAAGTTTCCTGTTTTGTATTTTGTGAGTCTATTTTACACATGATTATATTGTAATAATCAAATCTCAATATTGGTAGAGTTCAGTTTTACCAGTACAAATGAATAAAAGTTAACTTGATCAAATCAGTAACTTAGTTTGATCAAATAAAGCCACGACAAAGTTCCTTTAATAAGATTCTTCTATATTTCTATTTTTAAATTATCATAAGTACTAGAAGAAATTTTCAAATCAGTTACCAATTTCTAAACATTTTCCTTCAACGTTCTTAATTTCTTTTCCATTTCTTGTTTTGGGTAAGCTGAAGATATCTTCATCATAATTTAAAATAAAGAACATCACCGCGAAATCAAACTCCACATCAACAAATCCGAGCTTCCTCTCCAAATTCAATTCACCACTACTTCGCTACAAATGTGGCTAGGGTGTTCATAAAAATCGAACCAAACCGACCAAAAAAATCGATACTTTTTAGGTTTGGTTTGGTTTTGATTTTGAATTTTAAAATCGATCAAATTTAGTTTGGTTTAAATAGAAAAATAACCGAAAAAATCAGAACCAAACCGACTATAGAAGTAACTATTTAAATATTATTTACACACACACACACACACACACACACACACACATATATATATATAAAAAGTTTCTAAAATTTTATGGTACAATTAGTCGTTTGTATTTTTAGTCTAGTTCTTTACTATTATAATAATCTAATTCTTTGCTTGTAGTTTTCTTTTCCTAAGTACAAAGGATTTATTTTTTGTTAAAATAATTAATTTTTAATTGAGTAATTAAATTATTCATCACTATTTGATTCAATTATCATCAATACATCTTGGTAAATGATAGATTTCTCAAAGAGCAATTGGTTTGGTAATGTTACGTTGAAAATGTAGTAGGCAGAATATGTGGTTGGTAGTGTATGTCTCATATTTAAGAAAAAACCTGATAAATAACCGAAAAATAATAAAAACTGATAAAAAACGAATCGATAAAAAATCGATTTAATTTGTTTGGTTTGGTTCTAATATTTGAAGAATTGATTTACTTTGTTCGATTTCTTTTTAGGGAAAACTGATCCAAATCGAACTATGAACAAAAAAGAGGTAAAATAGCGGATTTTGGCAGCGGAACAAGAATAAGAAGGGGGCGGAGGATGGCGGGAATTGGATTTTGGGAAATATTTTTCTATTTATGAAAATAATAATTACATTTATATACTATGACCAATGTGTAATATCTGAAATTCCACTTTACTTTGTCATTAACCTCAATCACCTATTAACGTTAATTAGGACTCGTTTGAAACTTTTTTTCACTTTTTTTTTTTTTCCGAAATTAGTGTTTGGTCATGAAAATTTCAAATTTCACTTAAAGTTAAATTTCGATTTTTTTTCGAAATTTTAAAAAATTCAAAAAGTTATTTTTCAAAAAATTTTCACTTCAAAGCAATCACAAAAATTCAAAAATAGCTACAAATTATATTTCATGTCTAAACACAACTCTAATTTACAAATATTATTTTCTAACTTGAAAACAAATTTTATTTTTTTTCGAAATTTCACAATTCTTATGTCCAAATGCCAACTTAATAGAGGTCACATAGCCAATAATTAAGACTTGAAGGTCTTTTAATTAAAACCAGTTATAAAACAAAGGGTACTTTTGTTTGTTTTAAGAAAATAAAGGGGTAAAAAAGCAAAATACTAGTGCTACAATTGCATGATCTCTCTGTTGTAAGTTGTAACAAACAGAGAAGTGGAGAAGATACAAATTGGAAAGGATGTTTGGGGATCTGAGTTCCTTCTCCGACGAGAAATTCGACCCGAAAAAATGGATAAACGGCGCGTGTCAGTCACGGAACCCACAGGATCCAGTGGTCAAACACCTAATGGATTTGGAAATGAAGCTTCAGATGGTTTCCGAAGAGATCGCCGCTTCCCTTGAGGAGCAAAGCGCCGCCGCACTCCTCCGTGTTCCCCGCACCACTCGCGATGTCAGCCGCCTCCGTGATGATGCTCTCACCCTTCGCTCCGCTCTCTCCGCCATCCTCCTCAAGCTTAAAAAGGTCGGTTCCGCATTTCATTGTTGCTATAGTTAAAATGTAAAATTTTAGGGTTCCTTTTTTTTTTGAGTGTGTAGAATTTGTAATTCTGAGAATTTACTTACAAGTCTTCAATTATAGGCTTACCAGTAGTACTAGTACTATTCTTGTATTTTCTTGGTCCTGGTTCTTTATTATTACATTCCGTTACCCTATTTCATTGTTGTTTCTATTGTTTGTTGCTTTATTATCACTGTTCCTTGTACCAAGGGTTTATAGAAAACAACCTATCTACCTTCACAAGGCAGGGGATAAGGTATACGTACACATTATTCTCCCCATACCGCACATGTGGGATTACACTATTTTTTTTTTTTTTTTTTTTTTTTTTTTTTTTTTTTTTTTTTTTTTTTTTTTTTGTTGTTGTTGTTGTTGTTGTTGTTGTCTTCAGTTATAAGCTTGGTATTATGAGAATATAGTTCAATAATTGTGGGTTTTTATAGCAATGAGTAATTCCCCTTTCTCACAACTTTGAATTCCTTCTCAGGCTGAGGGATCATCTGCTGAATCTGTAGCTACACTTGCCAAAGTTGATGCTGTCAAGCGCAGAATGGAAGCTGCATATGAGACTTTGCAGGTAATGCTTTTCTTAAAGTGATTTTTAACTTAAATTTCAACTCTAGATAAAAAACATCCCCTGTATCTAAGGCTACACTAACAATTGTTCCAGTTTCCTGCTAACTTTTTTTCCCCTGTATTTAAAAAACTTGTATTTTCTTGTTGGAAGGATGCTGCTGGTTTAACTCAACTAAGCTCAACAGTGGAGGATGTATTTGCCAGTGGTGATCTTCCACGAGCTGCAGAAACTCTGGCTAATATGAGGCACTGCTTGGCTGCCGTTGGAGAGGTGGTGTTTTAACTTGCTTGTTTTTAGTTACATAACAATGTGTGTCACAGTTGCTTTATTAAAGTTCCGTGCTATTTTCAGGTTGCGGAATTTGCTAATATTAGGAGGCAGCTTGAAGTTTTAGAAGATAGACTAGACTCAATGGTCCAACCTCGACTAACAGATGCTCTAAGCAATCGAAAGGTGACTTTAGTTGTCTTTCTCCTTTGTAACCCTTTCTAAAAGTTACTTTTTTTATGTTTTCAAGTGAATGCATTAAACATAGGAGACAATAAAAGACCCTCGTTATTTTATAGGTTGATGTTGCCCAAGAAATGCGTGCTATTCTACTGAGAATTGGGAGATTCAAGTCCTTAGAGATCCACTACACCAACTTCCACATCAAGCCAATAAAGCGGCATTGGGAAGATTTTAACTTGAGGCAGCAGGCTAATAAAGTTGCAAATGAGAAAAGTGAAACAGAAAGGTTATCAAATGCTCAGGATTTTCATTCATCCACGATATCATTCTCAAGTTGGCTGCCTAGTTTCTACGATGAATTGTTGCTTTATCTTGAACAGGAGTGGAAGTGGTACGGATTGCTTTTCATCAACTTTTATTCAGAATTCTACTTGGTTTTGCCCCTAGGGCTTTGCTTGACGCACTGTGAGATGTGAGAATGGGCGCATGTGATGAGCTAGAACCCTACCATTCACTAGGAGCTCGGAATTTGAATGAGAGTAGGGTAGAGGGGGAGGCCATAATGTCCCGAGTTTTGAACTGTGGGCCAACTATTGTTGGGCCAACTAACTTACCTGGGGATTTTCGGTTATCAAAAAAGAAAAAAAAATCTACTTCGTTTTTCTGCTGGACTGTAATTGGAAGTCATATGCTCACTTGCTTTCAGAAAATTTTAA